GGCTGTTTGCCATTTACTCTATTTGGCTTTCTGCTGAGAGCACAGGCTTCATGCAAGCTAGTCTAATTGCTACAATTAGCAAAATTAAACAGCTTATTGTTTGTTTAGACAATTCTTCCCATGTTCTGCTTTGTTATGCTACAGAATTAGTAATTGCAGTGTTGGGCTTGTAAATTCGCGGACACGTGTTGCAATTATTTTAATCACACACATCTTGTAGGGGCTCAGTGTAAATAAGCTCATTTAAATAGATGCACAGATGCAATTTACTCTGCTTCCCACCATGCACAGGAGCAAGAGAGGCAGCAGCAGGACCACAGAAATCTGCTGAAGTCTTTTACTTGGCACTGTGCAGGCAGTGCAGGGGGTGCAAAACAAATCTCAGCATCTCAGTCACTCTGGATTGCACAACTTCAGGGATGGAGCAGAGAAATGGCAGCAGTGGCTTTGGGAGCTGAATCACTGGCAGAGCCAACCAAAACTCAGTGCAGTGCCACTTTTAAGGCTCTTAAGAAGTTATATGATCAAATCACAAAGACTTCAAAACTGTTGGTGTTCTAAAAAACTCAAAAGGCTGGTTGTGAATATTTGCTGGCCAATAAAAAGTAAATGAACATATTGCATGATTGGAAGTCCCTTTCCAAATAAAGCAGCACCTTTACTTTTACTACCACTTATGAATTGCTCTTTTGGGGAAATAATGATGTATTGGCTACACAATTGTATGTTTTAAACTAATACGGGTGTAATAGTTATTCACCACATATTAAAAATTACATCTCCAATAAAATTGTAATTTACCCTCTCTGCTTAAAAGTTTACAAAATCAGGCAGATGAGGCCTAGCATTGAATTTTGGAAGGAAAATTTTCTCCAGTGTTATAAAAATTAATTAATAGAGAATTTGTTTTTTTGTCAATAAAAATGTTGTTTATATGTCATCAAAGCCATATAGCCCAAGCACAGAAACATTGTTCTAGCACAAGAAACATATTTAAATTGACATAAACGAAATCAGAAATTACTTTTTTCATTATTAAATATGCAGGAAAAATGTATTGCACATATTTGCAAAGAATTTTTTCAGAAAAATTATCTTATTACAGAAAAAATAACTTTTAAAATAAGACAAAAATTTTATGTTACATTTTTTATATGTTTTCTGAATGAACCTGGTATACATTACCTCTTCTTTATTAATTAGAGTGGTGAATAGTAGTTGAATCGCCTTTTCTGTAACAGACAAATACAGACTCTCAAAAGTTTAGGACCAAGTGTTTAACCAGATAAGTTACCATTAAATCCACTGGCAAATTTTTGTTTCAGTAGAACAATGCTTTCATAATTCTTACTTCTAACAAAGAGATGTGATTGCTTTTCTTTACCAGAATGTGAATATGAAAATATGAACATTTTATTTTCTTGTATTCTGTAATGAAATTTAAAACGCCTGATTTTTTTTATTATTTCAAAAGCAGAAGTTAATTTTCTTTACAATTTTTTGGATGGGTTTTTTTGGGTTTTGTTTTTTTGTTGTTTGGTTTTTCGGCTTTTTTTTTTTTGCTATTGCTGTCTTAATTGAATGTTATTGATTTTAAAACTACCTGTGGTAAAAAGAATAGTGCATATTGATTATTAACTCTCCTTAAGGCCATCATGGAATTTCAACGTGGATGATGTTTAATCTTGGCAATTTCTATAAAAAGTTCTTACAGCTTTTAATGTGACTATTCACAGCAATGCAAATTATGAAACTGTCCACGTAGTCATCTGAGTGTTAAGATTTCAATGGCCACCCTGTTCTCAGTGCAAGTATCACTGATGTTATGAATGTAACAGAGTAAGATTTTGGAGAGCAAATTTTGACAGTGTATATTGATTTCTCTCCGTCCCTCAAACAGCGAGACTGAATTCTTAGGACAAGATGTATATATATAGTGCTGTGCATATACATATATATGTATATATGTGTATATGTATGTTGCTCTGCACTCAGACCCTGCAGTAGTAGTTTGCTTAAGATAAACATTTTTACAAACATTATTTAAAAAAATCAAAAATGCTGAGAGAGTAAAGAAAGTAAATGCTAGGCAGGAAAACCCACATGGATAAATAATACCTCCGTGTCCTTCCTTCCAAAACCAAACAAGAGCAAATCAAACAAACTCACCCCAAACCTTCTTCAGCAACCTTGCAAAGCAAGCACTGGTGCAGACTTTAACTCTTTAAATTTCGTACAAAGGAACGTTTCTTCAATTCTTTAAGCCCTGACCAAAGGGCTCTCAGCTCTGAGGAAGAGCCAGGGGATGAGAGGGACAGCAGCACAGGACAAGCCTCACTGACAGCCGTGATGTGCCCCTCTCCCCAGGAGGTACCAGAGGGTGGGTAGAGCTTGCGAAGGCTGCCCACTGTGCCTCATTCAGGCTTACATTTCTGAGTTGTTAAAGCAGCAGCAAACACATTCAACTGTTTCCAAAAGAAACACATCTTGGATCACAAAGCTTACCATTTGCCTTGTTTGTAAAGAAAACCAGCAATTTTCTTGTGCGAGCTAGCGTTTGATTCTGGAGTGAAGGCTCTACTGAATTTGACAGGACAAAGGACTTGCTTCAAAAACCTTTTTTTAGCAGTTCTTGCACTGGTATATTTTTTCACAAAACATGAGTGCTTTTCTCTGAATAATTAGCTATATATTCATGGAGAGAAGGGCAATCACTTTGTACAAAGCTTCAGGTTTGGACTATCAAAAAATTGTTTTATTTAAAAAATTATTATAGAGGCAGTTGGCTACTGCTTAATTTGAAAATACCTAAGAAACCCTTGAAGCATGGGTGTTTTCTGATCTGTGTAAAGTTCCCTCTGCCTTGCAGATTCCTGCACTTTCACAGATTATTTTTTTGTTTTGAGGAACTTGCCCCAGCAAAGAACAACAGGTATCGAACATTTCACTAATAAAAAAAGTCAACATTAAAAATGGCTAATTGAACGCATACAAATAAACATAGTCGGTGTAACCTTGGCCATTTCATAGTACAAATATTCATAATAGGAAAGACTGAAATTAATCCAGCAGCATATACAGCAGTGACTACACTGGATATATCTGACAGTGAAGATTACAATACCAATCATCAGGTCTTCTCCATTCTGACAATGCCATTTACAACAATAACTCTTCAGTTCTGCTTCTCTCTCCTAAAATGGATGGAAATAGTTATAGCAAATTTTTTCTTATGGAATCACTTGGTGTCTTTACAAGCCACTTATATTTGAAACAGGATCCACAGTTTATAGGGTATTCTAAAAGTACCCATGTAGGCTTTCATATAGCATTACACTGCAAAACAAATCCATAATGTGTGAAAACCAGGTTTACATCAACCTGAAAATGCCATTTGATAAAATTCATGGACCAATTCTTAACATCTAAGCTATAAAGAGAATGAAATGTATTAAAAGATTTGAGGTTTATAAAAAGTAACCTTTTATACCATATTTTTAGTTTACAAAAATATTGAAATAATCCATGAGTTTTTCACTCTGCACCAGATTTAAAAAAAATACTATCAAATTTTGACTTGCACCTTTAATGCATTTGAAAGCACCATCAGGGGATACTTTTAACATGAAGGATAATACCATTGACTAGATTTAGGGAGGTATTTAAAACCCAAAAGCTTGCAGCAAAGCACTCTATTACAAGAGATTCAACGTAATTTTTAGACGCATCTGGACAAAAGTCTTGAACAGGCAGAAGAGACTCTTCCACATAACTTTCTTATACTTCTGTGAATATACTTACTAAGAGGTGGTTGAAAGCCTTTAAAAGACACCACTTTCACCTTGGGTTGGGAAAAATCAGAGCTGTCTCTACATGTTGAGAACTTGTTTGGTCTTCCCTGCTTCTTTTTCTGGTAGGGCTTGTGCCACTTGTTATCTGTCCCTCAGGCAATATCAACCTTGCAGTTATACAATGTTTGGCACTAGAAGGGTATGGCATGTCACAGTCTCTTGTCACCCCTGCATACATTCACACACTGAATCATGCATTCTCAGTCCTGAAACAGAGAAGTCTCAGTGTGTTCATCTCCTTGTAGCTTCTTCTGAAATGTCTGAATGGGGTGCTCCAAATGTTTAGAATGTGAAAGCTATACTTCCCTGTTCTTTCACTTTTTTTTTTTTTTTTGCAAATCGAACACTGAATCATGATTATCATTTAATGTATATCACTACATGTTAGAGCTCCTTATTTCTTCTGAAAACCAGAAGTGAGCTGCATAGGATTTCTGCTGAAAGTAACCTCAAGAAGTTAAATTTTATTTTAAAAAGACTTTGAAATTCTACAGAAAACAAACAGTTCTGGTACTATTAATTTTTATGACCTAATTAATCAAAATTTAGTTTACTTTCCTTTGACAGCCTTACAAACATGATAATGTATCTTTTTAATTAAGAACTATTTTGCATACCTAACCTAACCTTAATGGTTGATTTATGGGAGTGTTGAAAACTATTATGTTCCTATTTTTTTTCCCCAGAAAACAGTTTTCATAACAGCAACACTGTGTGCTAGTTTTGTTATTTTTGAAAAGGTATGTTTTTGTTTATTTTTGCCATTGATTATGGAAATATGAATCATTAATTTCTAAAATAAAATGCACTACTGGCTAAAGTTGAAAGCTCTTGATTGGTTGTAAGTACTGTGCAGTTAGAGTTTCATAGCAGCAAGGGGTCGTGGGTGAGTTTCCCCAGCTGAAGTAACTGATCTGTATGTGTGGGTCAAAGTTGTTTTAGGCTTTCAGATGATGCTGCTGTATCAGTGTCCTGCAGACAGACTGCACACAGTGGATCAAATGATAATCATGATGATAGCCAGACTAAGAACACTATAGCTTGCTTCTCTACTTGCAGTACACAGTTTAGTTATTCCTACAGCCCGACTGTCAACCCTTAATTTGGACTGTAACACTGGAGCTTCTTCAAGCCGTGTTTTTGCTTTGTTTACAATGTGGTTTCATATTCCAAGCGCTCCTGGATAAGGGCATCATCTTTATACTGTAGCCGTGGAGGAGCAGGGGAACATTCAAATGCCAAGATTGCCTTCCTCAGGCTCCTGTCCAACACATGTCTCTCCCATGCTGGGTACCTGTTCCTGAACAGATCAATTTTAATGACAGACTCCTCAATCCTTGGTGGCCGGGATGAAGGTGTGGATGGTGCGGTGGGTCTCACCTGAAACACAGGCACACACCCATCCCTCTCTGCAAATTTTTGATCCCGCTCGCTTGTGACACTCCGGTTGTTGGAGATGGACCTTAGCGTGCTTGTGGCCACTTCTGGGGGTAGGGTGAAGGCAGTGGCAGGGTCCTCACAAGCACAGCTTGGCGACTGCCCAAACCTTGGTCCATTGGGGTGAAAGAAGGCATAGTACATTAACATAAAAACGATGCCTGTTAAAAAGCTGCTGAACACTACACACAGTGCTGGTATGGCAAATGCATCAGAGATTTGAGGGGCTTTGTACAGATACCAGAGAACACTCAAGGCAGTGTTTTCTAAAAGGATGACAAAATAGTAAATGAAAAGCCTACAGCGTGTCCTTCCTTCCTTGACATTGAACCAGCTGAAGATATAGATTATCCCAACAACCATGTCGAAAACTATCTCCTCCCATTTAGTGATGCAAAACTCTGTCTCGCAGTGAACGATCCAGAAGGTCATGATGCACCAATGCAACACGATGAAGATCCCAAAGTACAGCTGGAAAACTGAGGCAAACAGAGCAAAAGTAATGACCCTTGCTGCAATTGTGAAGAAATGCCAGCAAAACTGGATTATAACAGCCATATAACTGATGGGTTTCTTGTCATCACGGGAGTCACGGAGGGCCTTTTGGTAGGAAGCCAAAGCCCAGGCCAGGGATACGAGAGATGCTGCAGCAGTAAGACCTAGGAGGAAACAGGAGATGCAGTTAAGGCATAATTAGTATGTCAGTGCTTGGCTGAAACCGGTGAGATCCTTACTGCTTTAAATACATTCTACATCATTGACATAATAAAACCTCTTCCTTCTCCTTTATCTCAGAGAAATGGACCTCAACAGCTGAGATATCCTTGCCCTTACAATGCTGGATACACAAAAACGTGAGTGGCCATCAAACCACACTCTGAACCGCTTCTCGAGCAATTACACATTTGAAACAAATTAACTAATTCACAACTTTGAGCAAGTTGGAGATGGGCGTCTCTGTCAGCTCTGTGATTTAATGGGACCTGCTGTCGTTATTGTTTTCAAGAAAGAATATGAATTTTCTGATTTTGATAAATCATTAAGGAAATCTAATATAAAGCAATTAAGTCTTTCTAATTAAAATGTCAGCATCATATACATATAAAATAAATCAAAAACAATGTGAGCATAAATCTGCATTTTAAAAATAAATTTATGTAACTCTTGTTACATGAAAATGTAAACTGACTGCTTTACTCTTGCTAAGGGAAAAAAAAATACCCATTTTGATATTTTAAACAGAATTTTAATAAGTATAAAATGTCAAAACTTATTTTCTTTCAGTTGGAAATTAAATTTATTTTAGAAATGCTGGAATTGTCTACTGAATTAAAATTCTGAGTAAAGATGCTCCTAAAGTAGGGGTTTATGATTAATATAGCAATACAGCCATTCTATCTCCCATACATCACAGAACTGCCTACTTACAAGGCCCTAAACTATAATATTTTGGTAAAACTTCAAAATTATTTAAAGAATTGAATATAAAATTATTTCTCATAAGATTTCAAACATTAGTTCTGTGAAAATACAAAAAACTACAAAAATAAAAAAACTGTAAAACAATTATTTTTTAAAAAGACCATTTTATATTTATTTTTAATGTGTATTATTCTTTTCTCCTCAAGGGACTTTGACTCTTGTCTGTAGGTAAATTAAAAAAAAAAAAGTTAGTTTGAATCTAATTTTTAAACTGATCTGTTATTACTTCCATACATTACCAGAAACATACCTTACATTCCCATTTCAGAAATGGTATAGTTCAGCATAATTATTCAAATGCTTAATACTTACACAGCATTCTGTTAGAAATGCTAATAATTCTTCTTTACTGGAAGATTAATTTTTATTTACTTACGACTCATATCAACCTGCTTTGTATGGAAATGGGATTTGCAATTGAAATGCGAAATCCCAGCCTTTCAAGTGTATTTATTATTTAAATAAAATTGCAATAAATGTATACAGAGGAAAAATGTATCAAACAATTTATACTTAAAACTGGTTTATTACCAAGCCTAATTTTACATACAGCTAATGAATGAATTCATAAGTCTCAGCATCCCAGACTGAGAGTTTATTCATAGACCATTTAAAGATAATGATGCTTCAGCTTATTCTATTTCTAAGCAGTTCCTTAACTTTGAACTAGTTATTGAACTAAATCAAACTGACATGAAGAAAACATTTCTTTTGTCTGCTGTTAAAAGCTGTTTAATCATTTCAACAACCTTTGGTTCTGGATGTATAGCCAGGATTTTTCTTCCCTGTTCAGGAATATATTACTTAACTATTATAAATTTTATGAAATTTTATTAATATAGGATGGTAAATTTAAGCTGAAATACATATTGCTACTTACTTCAGGAAAAAAAGAGGTTATTTTAAAACAGAAAAATGTAGGTTATGGAAATACTACCTGATTCTGATGGAAAAAATTCTATTTAAGCAATTCACCTGGTTTAACACATCAAGACTTTGCTCAGTAAGTAGTACAGAGAGATTAATTGCTTTCAGGAGGGATTGCATTTGCCAGTGTTTCTCCCTCAGTCACCGGCAGGGTGCTAATAATGTTGTGAGCTCCCATGAATTTAAAATATCTTTGTTTTAAAAATAATAACAAACAATCAGCAGAAATATAGAGCAAATTTAGGATTCCAAGGAGAATTTTTAACAAAACTTCATCATTTTAATCCCCACGTAGATGCCTGAATGACAAAACACCAGCGTTACTGCTGGAATCCTCCTTCACGGAGAAAATAAGCTATCAGCAATGAAGACAGGAAGAAGACATGGTGTAAATTGCTATTTTCATTTCTGACTTGTATGTATGTTTTCTCGCACTGGGCTGCCCTTCTGTGTTTGTTATCTCTGAAGACAACACTACTATCTGAAAATGTAAGTTCTTGTTTTCCTGTAGGAATGTTTTAATTATTTAAAAAACACAGTTTGTTTCCCTCATGAAATGAAAAGTTTGGAAAGGTAGATGAATAGGATAAAGGGTAAAAGAATCTTTCAATACAAATGAGCCACTCCGAACAAAAGCTCAAAAATAGCATTATCAGCACAGGAAAAAATAATGTGAGCAAGAAATCCACATGCTTTCTTTGCAAATGTAACTTTAATGACCTCACGGACTCCCCCTGAGGTTTGTAGAGATATCATCAGTTTTGCATTAGGAAGTGTAAAATCATTCAATAATGCACACAGAATATAATGGTAAATTCATAGGAATTTCCAGTGTTCTAATGCTAATTAATTCATAGTCATTGCTGGGACAGAAAGAAGCAAGTACAATAGTAATGTAATTCTGTTATTTAAATAGTCATTAATAGGGAATCATCCTTTGCTTTTACAGAACAAACTCAGGGATATTGGCAAACAGGAGAGAAGGGAATGTACAAGGGAATGTACAAAAGGAAAGAACTGTCAGTTAATGTATTATGTATCTACCCTTGTGCTATTGGCAATGGTGTTAGGGATATAGAATTAAGATAAGGTTAAGCACTACGTAGGCTCCATCTGTTCCTCTTTATTGATGAGACTAAGCACTAAAGAATTATTAAAAGTAAATTAATAATGAAAACAATAACGTAAAAGTGATGCAAATGGCAGTTTGCTAATAAATGTCACTATATCAATAATTCACTGGGAGTGGTCAGAGATAAAGTGAATTATTGTAGCACTGAATGGATAATTCATTAATTAGAACCTATTAATGCAGTTGCTGAGTATGTATTTGGATAAACCTCTTTATCCCTACTTCAAAAGAGGAACTAAAATAAATTCCTATTACTGCCAAACCAAAACTTTAACAAGTCAGGAAGTTAAAGTCTGCAGTCAGGAAGGCTTATTTGCCACCCAGAAATGTACAGAAATTGGATGCGATCTGTGGAGCCACCATTCATGAGGAACAAGAACCAGCTTTGCTGCTTGCTCAGCTGCAGCCTATGTACACTTTCTGGGTGCTGCAGCAGCTTTATGGTGTATTTGACAGTCTTGTATTATGAGAGTCTTGTATTTAGAGTCTTGATCTCAGTAATTAAGATTAAATAGCCATTCCCAGTGAATATATACACAAGCAATTGTATGCTCACCCTTTACAGACTGTTGAAAGAACAGGAAAATTCTCTGAAATGGCCTTAGGAAGCATGAAACATGTTCCTGGTTCTTTCTTTTCTGAAGCTGAACCTTCAAATATTTTTCCACAGTATGTGATTTGGTCTCTAAAGTTCTGTTTGTAAAAGGAAAGAAATACAGGCTTTGCATAGGTAAAGCATCACTTTACAATTTGCATCAGGCAAATGATGCTTTTGTCTCTTTCTAAAATGGACACCTGACATACTCTAAATAGCAATGAATGGGAGTGGGATTGTATGTACCCACTTTGCAGCTTAGCCCATCAACAACAGTCACAATAGTGAGAAAATAATAGATTGTATCAAGACAACTTTCTGCTAGGAACTAATTATAATCTGTTTTGAGCGAAAAATACAGTTTAACCTCTTTTATTCTGTTAAGGGTTTGTATTATTTAATTATGTTATTTGTATAAAGGAATGACAACTTTTTATTACAGATGAGTTTCAGGTATTCTTAAGATAGTACACTATCTGTCTGATAAACAAAGAACAGAACTGCCTTGACTGAATTATAAGTTTAATTTTTCCCACGGAAATTATTAATTTCTCCAAGATGTGTTTGCATTTTATAGAGTGCGGCATATCCATACTGATAATTTAAATATAAAATTTGATACACTGCAATGAGCTACACCTCCTTAGAGACAAGATAAAAATCCACTAACATGACTTTCACAAATGAAAGTAAATATACGTGAGGGAAAAGAGAATGTATACAGAGATGAACACATTCACAAATGTAAGATTTCAGGGAAGCAAGCGAGCCCAAATAACTACAGGAGAGCAAATGAAATTCTTCTCAACAGTATTTGTGAGAAATCTGAGTGAAATATTTTGTTCATGGGCAAACCAAATAGAATTGCTCACAACACATAGGGGTTTTCTATATTACATCTCTGCATGGCAATTCACAACTTAGTTGTATCTTGCTAACACCTCTACCTTTGCATGATATCCCACAATATAATCTTTAGACTGGAGTGTAGCTGAAAAAAATACAGATCTCATTCTCACAGTAATTTTATTTTACTCCTAATTTGTACTTGAGATAGTAAAGGCATATTCAAGTCCATAAATCACTTTTTTCTAATCACATCAGTCCATAAATCCTATATAGCATAAGTACAGAACAGCTTGAGTCAGCTGGAAAGCATATAAATGGATGAACTGATCACAGAAAATGCTCCTTAACATTCAACCTGATTTCAGAAATCAAACTACTGCCAACTGTGTCTGTCTCTGCTTCATCCTTCCTTTTAAACTTGTGCTCATCTCACCGTGTCTTGGAGTAAACTTATCTAAAAGCAGGAATACCAAATGCAGAAGGACATCTGGGCATGACAACATTTTCTGGGTTCTGGGACTATGAAACATTATTTTAAGAAAGCCTATTTTATGAGTTTCCTACTCAGCTGGAGAGGTGCTGATAGATGCATCCAAGCTTCCAGGTGCTTCTCTGAACCAAAGCCAAGGTTCTCTAATATTTGAATCTTAGTCCTGTAGGAAATAGCATATCAT